TTTCTCCGTAAATTGAAGAGGGTAGTCGGGTGATTTTCCTTCTCTACAAAAAACAAAAACACGTTTTGGTTTTTTCAGGTTCAGAAAGTATTGGTGTACTTTTCTTTTAAAAAAATCGACGCTACAGATTGTGAACCTACCTTAAAATGATTCGTTTATAGGAATGACAGCTGGAGTGATGCCAACACACGGGCCAAAAGAAAACGGAGTTATGGCACAATATCCAAACCGGACAAGTCCGTACCAATGCTAATTTATGATTTCAAGATCCATTATTTGACGATTAGGGACATTTTTGGATCTGCACATTACTAAATTATTATCCATGTATATTCCATGTATATGCATTAGTATGCATCTCGTAATGGAACTCGATGGAATTCATAGTTAACTTTATACATTTGCAACATGCAACGAATATGCAACATATGACATTTAGTGCATTTTTTGTATCCGACATGCAACACCTGATAGAACATATTATATACAAAATATTTTAAGTATTACCAGAAGTATCCAGAACCCAGAACACGCATTTGCAGTTTCAGTGCAACTACTTAAATGCTCTACATCAAGGGTTCTCAACCAGGGGGGAATTCACCCCAGGGGGGGAATTTCAGGTTTTCAGGGGGAAATTGTACTAATATGGAAAAAATAAAGGATTTTCATTATTATATGCATATTATTTGGAATGCACTTTTTGAGGCAGACAATCTTGGAAAGGAGGGGGGAATGACATTCTGACATATGGTGAAAGGGGTGCATGGGGCAAACAAGGTTGAGAACCACTGTTCTACATTAAAACTACGCATCACATCCACTTTTTTTATAGTGGTGATACAAACCCCCAAATCTGTTTATCTTAAGAATTATTTTGTATTAAATTTGCTCATTCGGGGTTTGGGCCATATTTTCTGGGTTTGGGACCATTGTGCGCGCCCGGCTGACAGTACCTCCACCTGCTTTCCTGCTCGGCTGATAGTACCTTCACTGGCTTTCCTGCTCGGCTGACAGTACCTTCACCTGCTTTCCCGCCCGGCTGACAGTACCTCCACCTGCTTTCTGCCCGGCTGACAGTACCTCCACCTGCTTTCTGCCCGGCTGACAGTACCTTCACCTGCTTTTCCGCCCGGCTGACAGTACCATGGTATTGGTCAAATTTTGCGCGATTTTCACCAAAAATTTAACATGTGGGCTTTTTTATATGTTGATCAAAATTTCGAAGCTTGGTGGAAACCTGCCTACCTTCTCGAACAAAAAAAGTAACGAGTCATCTACTAACTCTTTCACGAGCTCACTGGTAGGACCATAAAATTACCTTACGTCACACAAACACTTAAATCGTCGACTGAAAGTCCTTGACATTTCATAACATTCTTACCACTTGCCTTCCTTTTTTTGTGGCAGATATTACACCTCATGGAGAGATATGTGGTAGGTAGTGGACGGTGAAGGTGCGAGAGATGACAGTGTAGGTAAGTGAACAAGTAAATTTTCTTCATTCACTCTGTTTCATTATTACTTCATTCGTTATACATTTTATAATGCAACTCTTGTTGGTTTTTCATCCTTTGTAATTTATAAATTGTAAAATTGAATTAAATGGCTGATTATAGGGTTATATTTTATTTACTGACTAAAACAACTAAGAATGTTAACTATTGGGAATTATTATTTATATCAAAACTAGTAACAGCAACGAATAACATCAACAATACAGTAACTAAACTAATCATCATTCTTCCATATACCAACGCATATCCGTCAATACATCGCCGTTCCTTGCATCTTTAAAATGAAACTTAAGCTAAAACAGAACCTTGAGACCCCCTATGTTAAAACGATCCAACCTCCTTCCTTTTAAAAACCCGGACGCGCTAAGTCGTGTTCAGTCACATTATTATTATGTTCCATTGTACAGTTAGTGAACATAACCTTGTCTCTCGTCTTTATACAGGCAACATAAAAAAAAAACAAGAAGAAGAGGAAGAAGAAGAAGAAGGAGGTGGAAGAAGAAGAGAAATAATATCCGAAGTTTTTATTGTAGGAATTTCTCACGGCGTTTGGGAGGGATTCCCTGTTCACTGGGTTAAGTAATTCTTTGAGTTGACGATTTTAAGCAATATTCTGGGCTGACAGCTTTTAAGGGGGTGATGTCCCTGGCCTGTTAATTTGGGTAAGGTCTCGGCTTGACAGTTTAGATGATATTTCTCGACTGACAGCACTAACTACTCCCACAGCTGACAGAATTAAACAAATCCCACAGCTGACAGCACTAACTACTACCACAGCTAACAGCATTTAACAATGCCCACGGTTAAAAGCATCAAACAACTCCCACAGCTGACAGCATTAAACAACTCCCGCAGCTGACAGCATTAAACAACTCACACTGCTGACAGCATTAAACAACTCCCACATCTGACAGCATTAAACAACTCCCACTGCTGACAGCATTAAGTAACTCCCACAACTGACAAAAATAAACAACTCCCACAGCTGACAGTATCAAACAACTCCCACAGCTGACAGCATCAAACAACTCCCACAGCTGACAGCATCAAACAACTCCCACAGCTAACAGCATTAAACAACTCCCTCAACTAACAGCAATAAACAACTCCCTCAACTGACAGCAATAAACAAACCCCACAGCTGACAGTATTAAACAACTCCCACAACTGACAGCAATAAACAACTCCCTCAGCTGACAGCAATAAACAACTCCCTCAACTGACAGCAATAAACAACTCCCACAGCTGACAGCAATAAACAACTCCCTCAGCTGACAGCAATAAACAACTCCCTCAACTGACAGCAATAAACAACTCCCACAGCTGACAGCAATAAACAACTCCCAAGGCTGACAGTGTGAGTTGGAGAAACCTTACACAATACTGTATTTTTTTTGCCTTCTGTTGCTCGTTGACGAACAACAAAAAATAAAACAAAAGCCACGAAAACAAAAGAGAAGATAAGAAATTAAGGCAATAATAATAAAATTGGTAAAACAAAATACAAAATAAATTAATAGAAACACTAAGACAAAAAATAAAAAAAAAGTTTGACGAATAAAAAAAAAACTGGATGAAATAATTAAATAAAAATAGCTAAACAAAAGACAGTCTGATAATTAAATATTAAAATACATTAGAGAATAAAAGAATAAAAAGTGTAAGTGATCTAACAATATAACTTGATAAAAAAAACCATAAAAGAACAAGACAAAAACTAACAACGGACAATTTCAAGACAATAAGATGAATAGAGAGAAAAACAAAAGATTAAAAAAATAGGTAAATAAAAACACAATAAAACAAAGAAAAAACAAATACAAAATAAATTAAATAAGAAAAAGATAAAAAATTAATTAAACTGAGAAAACAAAAAATATAAAATAATAAAATAGTAAAGAGATTTATAATATGTTCTTAAGTTAGATATTAATTACACAAGTCCAACTACACACACACACACACAGGGTACTCGGTTGGGTCGTTCAGTCTACCACTTTATAGCTTAAGAAAACAATGTAAATCTTTTTATCATTTGTTTTCTCAGTTTTATTATTTACTTTCTTTCTATTGTTTTATTTATTTGACTTTGTCGTTGTTGCTTCTTTAGTTTTTTTTTTTTTTCTTCTCCATTTTTCAATATCTTGTAACTCCATTTATTTTAGTTTTTAAATTTCCCGCTTTTTGAGCTCATAAAAAATGAAAAATGGGGAAATAAAAATATAAGATTAAACGAACAACAAATTTATAATAAAAGTAATAAGACAATGGAAGGAAAAATAATTAAACTGAGAAAACAAAAAACTAAGATAATAAAATGATAATTAGGTTTCCAATATTTTCTTAAGTTATAAAGTTTACATAATTAACAAGCAGAAAGAGACTGTTTGGAGAGACCTCATTTAGAAAATTAGGTTTGAATAAATTAGACACACAGCTCGTCAACATATGTCGGTCACCTGGCTGGTCTAACAACCATTAAACATAAGGGAATGGCAGTTACCCAGACATGAGAAGCCAACACACACGGGATGGTAAATCCTCTTTAGCGGAGGGCAGACGTACAGTACGTGCGGATGGCGGCACTACCCTCACCTTGGTCTGGAGGGTGGGTGGTATATCCCCCCCCAACAAGGTTAACTCCTTGAAGGCGGTCCTGACGCCTCTATCACTACGCACATCGAGGGGCCGTAGCGGAAGACACATTACTCCAACATTACCTAACCTGACCTTCTCGTCTCCCCTTAACGCCATGTGTGAGATGACACGTCCCAAGTGTACAGTACATCATCAACAATGGTTGACATTTTTCTGATGAATTACGGTGTGTTTTTGTTTACATGTTGTAAATGACGTGGGTTTATGGTGGTGTTCGAATGATCCAAGTCACAGCTTACCTGGCTACCTGGGGACAGCTTAAGAGGCAGATTAGAACAATGATTAGCCACAGTAAGTGATTGTAAGGATTCGGCATTTATCGAAGTGATCTTCAACTGGCATCTTAAATCAGTGTTCACTCAGGGATGTTAAAGACTTAGAACACCTCACTCTTCACCTTTAGAAGAGTATGAACCTGAGAGTAGCTCTGACTACCGAGAACAGAGCAGGAACTAGACCTGGTCAGTGTTTAATGAAGGAGAATGCTAAAGACGTGGTCCAGGGCTCACCTCCCTCAACAAAAACTCAGTGGACCACTACTACCAACAGGTGAGTAGGAACTAGGCCAGGTCAGCCTTCAACTACCTGTGTAAATTACGCTACCACTCCCCTTCCCGTCATAATAGAAGTTATTTACCAACCCAAAAAATCTACATCACTTCAGAACATCTATTTGGCGACTTTTTGTCATGTAATTTTCACAGTCAAAAAGTTTAATTATGCACATCGATCATTACAGAATCTGAAAATAAATAAGTTTTACCATCTGTTGGCTTACACAGTGCCTGTTTGGGGACCGGACCTTGTGCAATACTATTTATTCACTGGCAACTACAACAAGGTCGACCGGTGCTGAAAGGTTTATAAAGCGGGCGCAGCCAGAGAGTGGCTCAGTGGAGCAAGAAACAGCGTACCAGCATGAGGACCTTGGTGGGTAGCTCTCCTGGTCTATAGTTCCTAGTTCTAGTTTTAAGGGTAATACTACCACTAAGTTATGTTAAATCCAGAAAATTAGGCTGTTTTCATCTCATACTGTTGATAAATCTTAATCCACAACAAATAGTAAAAATATTTTCAAAGTTACGAAGGATTTTTTTCGAACCAATTCATCTTGGCGATTAATTAGCGTTAACCTCTTGGATTGTTTGACCGATTTAGGAATCAGATGTACGCGTGAACATTAAGACATCATGGAGGACGTCTAGCCTATGTTGTCTGAGCTCGTACATCAGTCTATAATGTGTTCAACGTGAAAATGTCTAAGCGTACTGTGCAAAGAATTAATTTATTAAAAAAAAAATCTATATCACGTGTGACGTTCCAACATAAGTTTTAAAATTTCAAAGGGGCGTAAATTTATGAGTAAATAATAGGCACCTTTTAACGTGGCGAGAAGAAATGATTGTCAGGATTTTGGTGAAATGCCTTTTCTCTCTGGAACCAAGTGACATTTCCTAAAGGTATAAAGTAAGATCAGGATGGAGGTAAGTGAGAGAAAGAAGGTCGACCTTCTAGTGCAAGAGAGAGCTACCGTGAGTGTGTGTGTGAGTGTGTGTGAGAGTGTGTGTGTGTGTGTGTGTGTGTGTGTGTGTAGTGCCACGTATTGTACATATACTGCCACTATGATCATATACCAGCAATGAAGATACGTTGTACAGTTTATGTCCTGTGTGTATTGTGTGCGTGTCAGGTGTATCCATTTTTGTGTTTCTCTCACCCGAACACTAGTGGTTCTGTGCTTAAGTGTATATTTTTTTCTGGTAAACAAGTGGTCGCTCTGAAAACATCCGCCTCTGAAATATCAGTGAATTCCACCTGTAAATTAATTTGCATTGCCTTAAAAATCGTTTTCCTGACGTCATGTGGTGATAACGTCTACCAGACTCTCGCCCTTGTGCAGGAACAAGTCTACAGCGGCAATTTAGACTCTTGCCTCCTTACACCAAGCACGAAGACAAATTTCTGTTCCACTTTATTCCTTTAAGGTACATGTTTGTGTGGTGACTCTTATGTGTGTGTGTAATAATAATAATAATAATAATAATAATAATAATAATAATAATAATAATAAACGGTTTATTAATAGAGTTGCAGCCGGTGGCTAAAAATATACAAACTTACATTTGATTTAGACATAATGATAGGCGTTGAATACATTACACGGCTGTACAATACATAAATCAGTTGTTGTTTATTATTTTAACAAGGTGTGCGCGCGCGACTGGTGAAACAAATTAAGTCAATGTAGTAATTAGTGCAAGTATCGATTTTTCTGTCTGGAGAAATATCATGCCCCTACGTTTACGGAACCTGAGTTGGCGGTCGACTATATCAGAGACAAACACATCAGTATATATAAAAAAAGGCTTAATCATGAACGTACCAATAAAACCAGTAGACCATCCGTCTCCATTATCTGAGAATGGCCCATGAGAGTCACTCACCACACCTTTACTAACCAAACATCTTTCCTCCCGACACAGATACTAATGTGCGTGGTGGCGGCGGCCTGCGCTCAATACGAAAAAGGTCACGTCAAGATCCTTCAAGATAAGAGGTACCAGGACGGTGCAACCTTCGGCAACTTCCGTGACCAGGAGGACGGCATCAAATATTTCGAAGAGACGGACGCCCAGGGTATCCGTCGAGGATACTGGGAATACCCATCTGAGGGTACCCAGCCTCATCGCGTAGAGTTCGAAGGTAATGTCTTGTTTATTTATTGTTCTACTTATTGTTCGTGATAGCCGTCACACACAGCTCCCGTGTGATTTGTCTAAAATAACGCTGTGTTCAACTATGGTCGTATCAGGCTTGGTAAATTAATTTTCAAATGAGTTGGTAAACTAACTAAATTCTACTAATAATTTTGATAATGTTGAACAAATTAGCTACAAAAAAGATCTCTGCAAGGCCCAGCGTTCTCATGAGTTTTTTAAAACTTTTCCTAATAATATTTTATTTGGCTTCACAGCTGGTCCAGGCATTGGCTTCAGAATCCTCAACTCCAACATCCACGCACCTACTACCCAAGTCCAGCCTCAGCCCCAATTCCAGCCCCAGCCCCAGTCAGCCCCTCACCCAATTCAGCCCCAGCCAGGTCCTCACCCAGCCCAGCCCCGGCCAGGTCCTCGCCCAGCCCAGCCCCAGCCCCAATTCCAGCCCCTCCCTGTCCACCATATAACATCCTCCACACCCCAGCCTGGACCCCAGAACCTCTTCGACTACCCTGGAAACCTCGAGTTCTCCCGAAGCAGCCAGGGCCACCGCTTCAAGTTCACCGCTACTTAAATCAATCTTTTACGTCACCCATTATGCTCTTTTAATTTCTCTCTCCGGTTTAGTATCTTCCCCGCCTCTCACTGATACCTCTCTTGATATCTTTCACTCTATTGTAAAAATCGATACAGGTTATTTCAGCCGAAATATTTCGCTTTTCATTTTTTTTATTATCTTCGCCTCGTTCCACGTCTAAAGATTAAGTCAATGGTAACGAAACACTTTTTTCATAATTAGTCTCAATCTCTAACTCTTTCAGCCGTGAATTCTCTCTTTTATCTTCTAAGTTCTTGTTCTCCTACACCTTCGCTCAAATTTCTCCTGGTTCCTTGAGTATTTTCCCCTCCATTCTACCAACTCTTCCTCTCCTCCTTTCTCGCGTTTCTTAATACCAACACTCAACATTTCACCTTCCCTCCTTCATTCTCCGTTTCTGTGCCTCCCTGCTTGAAGCGCCGTGTCCGCCCGCCACCACGACCAGTACTCCTATAACAAAAGTGGAAGGAAGATCTACGCCCCGTCGAAGTCTTCCCTCCCTCCCCAGGTCCTCTGCTCCACTTGAGACTCCTCCTCAGCTGACGTGAAATTGTGGCTACGTCTACAGATCGCCCCTGACATCGTAGTCGTCTCAGGACCGATGTGCTGAGTGATCTAGTGATATCTAGTCCATCAGAACACAATATCCATTTAACATTCTGATTCACCGTGTTGAAGAGCTTTCATGATTCACAGACAATTTTACGTTGTTATGTTACGATGCAAAAGTCGAAAATTTGACAAAAAAAAATTCTTTCCTCAACAGGGTAAAGTTCATTCTTGTTTAAGGTAATTATGGAGATCAGTATCGAGGTCGATTTTAACCCATTACTTGGCGTGTCTTTACAACAAACGTCCCACAAGAAAAGTTCTCATTCCGTTCCATTTTACAACTGTCTTCAACTTTTGACTTCCCAATTTCCATTCTTGGTGAAAACAGGAAAAGCGAACCATCCAAACCTAACAATCTTGGAATGTATTTCAATTATGTTTGGTCAAGTAGGCCAGAATAAGTCTTGTTTGTTATAAAATGAAGTGGCATGATACAGCAGCCACCATTACGGTAATGGACCTCGACTCTGACCTTCATAACGAGCTACCCGACTCCGGTTTGGTTCACACCCTCGACAGAATTCTGAGATTGGACGAAGTGCGTCGCTAAGTCTCCTGACGGCGACCTCTTCCCTTCTTCTTCACGTCTCGCCTACCCGATATCGGATACATGGGCATTGTTAGTCTGTACTTCCATTACAAAGAAAAACCCTCATGATAATTATTACCCATAGTTTCATGAGTAAATGTCACATAACAGTTCCCACAGAAAATGATACATAAAAATATAGTACGTGTAGTTCGTACCAAAACACAAGGGGTAAGTAAAATCATAAAAAATATAAAAGTAATAGTAAAGGTATGTAAGTATTTTGATAATTATTATTTGATGATATTGTTAAATGATTACCACTTTCAGATGAAATTCAATATGGAAATTATCTTATGTAAATCTGTCAAACTCAGCCTTTATCAACATAATCACCAATATGTTGCCTGTCTCAAAATTAACTCTTGATATATTTATCAAAAAAAAAAATAGCCTAATCATACCAGTTAATGAAACCCCAACAAAAACATTTGAGAGAAAATATAAACATTACAAAAACAAAAATAATTTTAGATGAAATGTTATCAAAAACCTTAAAAAGTTGGCTCTTCAATTTGTAACCTTCTTGAGTTCATTAAACATTCAGATAATTCAGTTTGCGAAGTATAAAGTCACAATTCATCAGTGTAAAACGTCTTAGGTTAAATGCTTGAGTTCTCATTGTTATTCATCTTTCTCAAGTTAATTTCATAATGTCTGTGAAACAATGTCTAACTGAATAACATGTGACACACTGACATGTGAGTTAGCCCCTCAGGTGTCCCCAATTAACGGTGCCACATTGCTGTCATGCCCGGAGTCTCCATATGTTGATTTTCTGATGCATTGCAAAAGTAGTTCAACGGCAGAGTTACTGACGTTCTCTCAAGCAATCATTGGAATTATGTGTGTGTGTATATTTTTGTATAAAGAAATGTGCCCAATAAATTATTAAAAGGAACATCCGCCTCTTTGTCATCCCTCAGAACACTTTACCTACAGCCAAGATACTAAAAAAACAAATAGAAGAGACTTATAAGACAAAATAGAATAGCAACACACACCAGGACCAAATATTCTGCAAAACTGCCTGACTGACTGACTTAGCTGAATAAAAAAAAAGAAACACACACATCAGCCCCTACACTGTTGACACACCAGAGTCGGCAGGGTCGTCCACATTAGCTAATTGAATGGCACCACTACATACAACACCATCCACCATCACTATAGTTAACACCATCCATCATCACTACTATAATACCATCCATCATCACTACATATAACACCATCCATCATCACTACATATTATAACACCATCCATCATCACAACATATTATAACACCATCCTTCATCACTACATATAACACCATCCATCATCACTATAGTTAACACCATCCATCATCACTCCTATAATACCATCCTTCATCACTACATATAACACCATCCATCATCACTACATATAACACCATCCATCATCATTACATATTACACCATTCACCATCACTACATATAACACCATCCATCATCACTACATATAACACCATCCATCATCACTATAGTTAACACCATCCATTATCACTACATATAACACCATTCACCATCACTATAGTTAATATCATCCATCATCACTATAGTCAACACCATCCATCATCACTACATATAACACCATCCATCATCACTATAGTTAACACCATCCACCATCACTTTAGTTAACACCATCCATCCTCACTACATATAACACCATCCATCATCACTACATATAACACCATTCACCATCACTATAGTTAATATCATCCATCATCACTATAGTTAACGCCATCCATCATCACTACATATAACACCATCCATCATCACTACATATAACACCATTCACCATCACTATAGTTAATATCCATCATCACTATAGTTAACACCATCCATCATCACTACATATAACACCATCCATCATCACTACATATAACACCATCCATCATCACTACATATAACACCATTCACCATCACTATAGTTAATATCATCAAATCATTACTATAGTTAACACCATCCATCATCACTATAGATAACACCATCCATCATCACTACATATAACACCATCCATCATCACTACATAAAACACCATTCATCATCACTATGTGACACTATCCATCATCACTACATATAACACCATCCATCATCACTATAGTTAACACCATCCATCATCACTATAGTTAACACCATCCATCATCACTATAGTTAACACCATCCATCATCACTACATATAACACCATCCATCATCACTACATATAACACCATCCATCATCACTATAGTTAACACCATCCATCATCACTACATATAACACCATCCATCATCACTATAGTTAACACCATCCATCATCACTACATATAACACCATCCATCATCACTACATATAACACCATCCATCATCACTACATATAACACCATCCATCATCACTACATATAACACCATCCATCATCACTACATATAACACCATCCATCATCACTACATATAACACCATCCATCATCACTACATATAACACCATCCATCATCACTACATATAACACCATCCATCATCACTACATATAACACCATCCATCATCACTACATATAACACCATCCATCATCACTACATATAACACCATCCATCATCACTACATATAACACCATCCATCATCACTAAATATAACACCATCCATCATCACTACATATAACACCATCCATCATCACTACATATAACACCATCCATCATCACTACATATAACACCATCCATCATCACTATAGTTAATATCATCCACCATCACTACATATAACACCATCCATCATCACTACATATAACACCATTAAACGTAACTACCTTATCACTACCGTAATAAACTGAGCTAGAGTTTTACTATATTTAGAAATTCCAACTTCATTATTTTATTTCTGAATGCTCAAATTTTGAATTGGCCTCAGTGAGTGCGTTGTTAATCTGGGTCAGTCATACTTGTAGATTCCCATAAAGTACAAAAGCTTTTGTACTTTATGGTGACTGTAACCCACAGGCCACGTTTGTGATAGAGATATGATAAGAAAAGTTAGACTTTTATTTTTTTTGGGGGTATTGTTACGACCGCGCACTCTTCCTGGGTTGGACCGCACTCTTCCGTGGCGTTGAGACCGCGCACCTCTTCCGTGGGTTGGACCGCGCACTCTTCCGTGGCGTTGGACCGCACCTCTTCCGTGGCGTTGCGACCGCGCACCCTTCCGTGGCGTTGCGACGCGCACCTCTTCCGTGGCGTTGCGACCGCGCACTCTTCCGTGGCGTTGCGACCGCGCACCTCTTCCGTGGCGTTGCGACCGCGCACCTCTTCCGTGGCGTTGCGACCGCGCACCTCTTCCGTGGCGTTGCGACCGCGCACCTCTTCCGTGGCGTTGCGACCGCGCACCTCTTCCGTGGCGTTGCGACCGCGCACCTCTTCCGTGGCGTTGCGACCCCCTTCCGTGCGGCACCCACCCGGACCGACCTTCCTGACGCGCACCTCTTCCGTGCTTGCGACCCACCTCTTCCGTGCGTTGCGACCGCACCTCTTCCGTGCGTTGCGACCGCGCACCTCTTCGTGGCGTTGCGACCGCGCACCTCTTCCGTGGCGTTGCGACCGCGCACCTCTTCCGTGGCGTTGCGACCGCGCACCTCTTCCGTGGCGTTGCGACCGCGCACCCTCTTCCGTGGCGTTGCGACCGCACCTCTTCCGTGGCGTTGCGACCGCGCACCTCTTCCGTGGCGTTGCGACGCGACCTCTTTCGTGGGTTGGACCGCGCACCTCTTCGTGGGTTGCGACGCGCACCTTTCGTGGCGTTGCGACCGCGCATTGACCCGCACCTCTTTCGTGGCGTTGCGACCGCGCACCTCTTTCGTGGTTGCGCCCGCACCTCTTTTCGTGGCGTTGCGACCGTGCACCTCTTTCGTGGCGTTTCGACCGCGAAAAAATTTAAATAATTCCACTAAGTTTAACAGTGGTTAGTGAATTATACTTATTACAAAAGAATGTATTATTCATACTAAAGGTTTTAGACTTCATTTAGGCCATTTATTTTTAAACAGTACAGTTCTCCATTACAAGTAATTTACTAATTTACTGCCTGCTAGTGCGTGTATCAGGGAGAGAGAGAGAGAGAGAGAGAGAGATTTTACATTGTTGTTTTTTTTAAACTAATATAATGCATAATAATTAAAATAAGATGTTTTTCTTTTTTAGAGATATTCATTCTCGGGAACTTTTCACGTTAGTATGGGAATTTAAGGTTTTGCTCTGTGAGAGCCCTACACTGTTGACACACAGCCCCTACACTGTTGACACACCAGCCCCCTACACTGTTAACACACCAGCCCCTATACTGTTGACACACCCCCTATACTGTTGACACACCAGCCCCTACACTGTTGACACACCAGCCCCCTACACTGTTGACACACCAGCCCCTACACTGTTGACACACCAGCCCCTACACTGTTGACACACCAGCCCCTATACTGTTGACACACCAGCCCCTATACTGTTGACACACCAGCCCCTACACTGTTGACACACCAGCCCCCTACACTGTTGGACACACCAGCCCCCTACACTGTTGACACACCAGCCCCCTATACTGTTGACACACCAGCCCCTACACTGTTGACACACCAGCCCCTACACTGTGGACACACCAGCCCCTCTCACTGTTGACACACCAGCCCCTACACTGTTGACACACCAGCCCCCTACACTGTTGACACACCAGCCCCCTACACTGTTGACACACCAGCCCCACTGTTGACACACAGCCCCTACACTGTTGACACACCAGCCCCTATACTGTTGACACACCAGCCCCTATACTGTTGACACACCAGACCCCTACACTGTTGACACACCAGCCCCCTACACTGTTGACACACCAGCCCCCTACACTGTTGACACACCAGCCCACTGTTGACACACCAGACCCCTCACGTTGACACACCAGCCCCCTACACTGTTGACACACCAGCCCCTACACTGTTGACACACCAGCCCCCTACACTGTTGACACACCAGCCCCCTACACTGTTGACACACCAGCCCCTACACTGTTGACACACCAGACCCCTACACTGTTGGACACCAGCCCCCTATACTGTTGACACACCAGCCCCCTACACTGTTGACACACCAGCCCCTACACTGTTGACACCAGCCCCCTACACTGCTGACACACCAGCCCCTACACTGTTGACACACCAGCCCCCTCACTGCTGACACACCAGCCCTACGTTACACACCAGCCCCTATACTGTTGACACACCAGCCCCCTACACTGTTGACACACCAGCCCCCTACACTGTTGACACACCAGCCCCTACACTGTTGACACACCAGCCCCCTACACTGTTGACACACCAGCCCCCACTGTGACACACCAGCCCCCTATACTGTTGACACACCAGCCCCCTATACTGTTGACACACCAGACCCCTACAATGTTGACACACCAGCCCCCTACACTGTTGAAACATCAACTCAGTCTTATAGCAGTACACTGTTATCCTGACACGTCCTGTACACGAACACGGTATAGACTGTAAAAGTTAGTGTTCTTTATAAAACTCTCGGCAACTTGGTTTAAGACTGAACCTCAAGTGGATTGGTAAAATATAAATTGAGACTAGACTAGACTAGACTAGATTAGACATTACGATATTAGATATAGATTAGATTTAGACAATATTTTATTTTGACTTCGTTACTTAAATTCCAATAGATTTAGAAGACATTAACATACAGATGATGGTAACCTTTGACTATTAAATTTCAGACAATCTTACATTAAATAAGAATTAGATTGCATGATATTAAAATGTAACCCAATTAAATTTTAAATGGTCTACCTCGGGGTGCGAAAGCTGAGTGTATGCAGAGCTCGCATCCTATCTTTTAGGCTGTTGGTTCGATCCCAG